ACACACTCAAGCTGGAAATCACAGGAACCAATAAAAATGCAGGCAGCCTACTGATAATGAGGTCAGAAATACAAATAAATTTACTTTTAATGAAGACTGGAGGCACAGTAATCAAAGTGTTAAAATTCATTTCATGCATATCTCATTTGCTTCTTCGCTGATATTTACCACGCAATTCTGTGAGAAAGTAGAGGCCTAAGATGCTCCAGATAAATGGCTCAATTAATTGTACAGAGGTAGACCTCTTTGAGCTGAGCCAGAGCTGTGAGCTCTTTATTAAAAGCACTATTCTGTAGCCCATAACCTTGTTCCTTGACTCCTCTCTGGTTTCCAATTTAAACAAGTCCCCATGCGGCCTGCTCTAAAGGGCTTTGTCTCCCTGTCATTGTTAAGAGAGCTGAGGCATCCTGGAAGTGTGAAATCAGACCTCATGAGTTGAACGGTTCCCCAGGGAACGCTGGACTGCGCAGAAGGTCAAAGTCATGGGCCGGACCATCTAAAAGTGTCTGATCGCCCGTCTGTGACACAGCAAGTTGGGGAGGGGGGAGGGCTAGGCTGAGAGGACTGAAATTGAACACATCTTAATTAAAGCCCACAGACAGCAAAACAAAATGTTTTCTAGGCAACCTGTCAAATGAGGCTTAAATTTAGCTCTGCTAATGAATCTGAGCTGCTAACTGTTATTTCTTAAGATAATAAGACTAACGGAAGCTGGAAAAAACACAAAAAACTGTAGCATGTCTTTTTCTGCTGTTTTGCCACTTAAATATTTTCTAACAATGAAGACAGTGTTCCTAAAGAATAAACATAAGAGAAGTCTATGCAAATAAAGGGGTAGTAAACATCTCTCTTAATAACTAGTAGGTTTCCAGACTATGAGGCTGGTGAGTCCAACCAAGTCTGTATTCAGATATGCTCATTTAAATGGGGGGACTATTTCAGTGACAGATTATGTTCATTGTAATATTCTCTCTCTTCTTTTTTCTCTCCCTCCCTCTCCATTGTTTCCTGAAGGAGATGGTGCATTAATTTGAGGTGTCAATTCACCTGGCATGCAGAAGTTTTGTATTAGTGTACCTTTTAGCACAGTGAAAAGGTAGGGCATCTGTTGAAAGGGTTTCACAGTGCTCCCATATCACTGTTTCTGAAACTGAGTGGCTGGGATCCCTAGGGAGGCTGCGACCTCTTCCTCTTGAGCTTAAAAAAACAACCCAGGAGAAAATGAAGGGGAGGGGCTGAGGAGAAGAATTCTTTTCTCTTACTTCTCTTAGAACTTGAAAGAACCAATAGGCCAGGTCTAAATACTCTGCAAAGAAAGCTTCACTCAGTATAGAAGACTTTCAATGTTCTGTTGAAAGCAGAAATTAGGACCCATCCAAGAAAAATAATAATTAGGATCTAGAAAAGGCAGATTCCAACGTTAACTGTATTCCGCCGCCAGTAAACAAACAAACAAACAAACCCTGCCCCCCACTGGTTTTTCTCTGCTCACAGTCTATCCAGTTTTAAGGAACACTTGATTTAGTTGAAGAGAGAATCTTCCCCAGTGGACACAAGGGCAGACAATGTCTTAGGTTTTGCTTTGATGGCACAGAGAGACATTAACCTTTCACTGGCTAGTTGAAAGGTAAGTAAGTTGTACTGCACAGTATTTTTCAGTTAATCAAACTTCTTCCCCCCGAAGAATTTAGCTGACCAACTTTGAGAACCAGAGTGCCACTTTCTCAGGCTGTGAAAGGCGGCCCACAATTTGACTGAAATTTCAATCCACTCTTGTGCCTTGCTCAATGCATGTGTATGTGTGGGAGTTGTAAATTGAGGCCTTAACCACCAGAGTTAATCTCTTTTTTAAATCTGTATTAACCTTAATGATTTGAAGTGCACTGTCCAACACTGGGCTATTGAGACTGAAGAAAAAACTACCCTCAACTATCAACAGTTTATTAGGGGCTTAACTGAAGTGACCTACTGTAGTCGTGTTCAGCTGAACAAGGCTATAGGCTTTTTGTGGAAAGGGAAAGAATTGAGGGTTTCATTAAAAAGTAATTTGTGCTTTATACTCACTCATTCAAAGAGTCTCAACTGCTCTTTATTCACACAGAGTTAATACAGTATCACAATGTTTCTCAATGAATGTGTTGTAACAAAAGAAAAATTTTACATTTTGAAAGGAAAAAATTCTTTGTAAGTGCGGTAAGATTGATGGCTACTTAAAAGATTATAGAGTCTCTTTTTCCTGTGTTCATGTTAAATGATGAAACACTGTAATTTAACATTATTTGCTTAAATTATGAAAGTTTAACTTTATGTTTGGATCATTAAAATATTTTTAAAATAGAGCAAAGTTGGTCAAATATAAGTGTGTCTTGTTAGACTTGTCTATAAAAAAAATGTTCTGAAGCCAACCAAGCATCATTTATATCAGGTCAGAAAATATTCTTCACCCAGCATAGAGAGTTATCAGTGATTTAAAGTACTTCTTTGAACAAGCAAGAGATGAAGTATACAAAAAGCTTATTTGTGCCCCAAATGTAATGATAAAGATCAGGAAGGATCAGTATAAAAAATATTCATTCTTTTCAGAAGCAAGGATTATTTTAAAAATTGGTATTGTATTCAGATATTTCTGAGTTAAATATATGCCCCTCAGTTTCTGCCACCATCACAAATGTCATAAAGACCACAAAAGGTCTAAGAGTGAGCAAGGTCAAAGACTGAATTATCCTCTTGCCCCTGAACAGTTCAACATCTCTCTTGTTGAATTCAGAGCACATTAGATTATAAGGTCAGTGTGGAATGAGGAATCATTAGATTTATATCCCTAAAACTGGAGGGGGAAAAATGAAGAATCTGTGATTTAGTATTTCCCAAATTAACACTTATTTTATCAGATCAAAATTATGTCTCATTGAATCCTTAGGAAGAAGGCTATTGTTATTCCACTTATTTACATATTAGGAAATCACAATCATTGGGAAGAAATATATCTATTTTTGTCAGCTTTGAAAGAACATGCACTTTAACTTCCATAGTGGCATATAAGCCAACTAGGTTAATACAGCTTGCATATTCATGAAGTTTTGAAAGTAATGACAGCTTCCCTCCAAGAGAAACAAACTATCTAATTGCATTCAACTGGTGTAGTGGGCAGCTATCTAAGTGTGTAAAGTAAGTGGGACTTGGATTTTTCTATAAGAAATTATTGTGCATATTATAAATGTTCAGTGATAATTTAGAGCACTTAGGTTCCCTCTGAGATATAGATTATTTAGGCTTTTCTCTCTATCTTCAGATGTTTTCAGGCAAACACTGGGTGCTCCCCTCCCCTAAAAAAATCCTGACGAAAAGTGAAGGTGTCTCCCAAGAGAGACTCACTGCCCTGAATTTCTGAATCTATCTGCTGTGGGGAATCCCAGGATAAGCATAACCTCTGTAGTGTAAAAGCAACACTGTGTTCCTGTTCCAGTCATCTAGTTAATGTCCAAAGAGAACAAAAAAGAGCAGTCAGTCATTAATTGTTGACCATTGGTTCTAGTAATGTATGCAACACAATAATGATAATAATAAAGAAATCACTATGTCCAGATTAATTTGATTACAACCACATCAGAAATAAAAAATAAAATGAATACACTTAACATTCACTAATTATTTAGTACAGTAGCCAAGCCAGAATGTACCAAGAAAGATTACAAACTACCTTCTGTCCCACTATTTCCAGGTATGCCTATTTTGAAGGAATATTTGATAGCTATTATTATCTTCTTACTTACAAATGAGTTGATAATTCTTCTCTAAAGAAACCTGTAAACTCTTAATATTTTAATATTTTTCACACAATAGTCACTTGATAATGTGCAAATATTAACATTTTAAAAATATTGCTATTTTGGAGCAGAAATCTGCTATTTTAGTTGTAAGGCATGTGATTTTTTTAATTTGGTTTTTATTTGATGAATTAAAGAAGGGTACCAGCGATCAATGGGTTTGCAAGTCCTTAGATGGTAGGAAAAGTACATTTTTCACCTTCAAATAAGTCAGCTACCTTTTCAGGAACAACTTGTACAATGGTAAGCATATTTCCACAAATAATAAATGGATACTTTCTTTAAAAAAAAAAAAAACAGTGAAATTTGCACAAAAACTGGTCATCAGTCCTATTTATTATCCATTTTGAGATGGACAATTTAAGGTATGGTATAATCATTCCCAAATACTATGAAATTAAACAATAAATGAAGTCACACAGTTTCAAATTTAAAACAATGATTTAATTCTGGAAACTGACTAAATAATTACCATCAGCCAATTAATATGTTATAGAAACAGCAATATCCAAATGAGAAAGCTTTAAGAGACAAGATCAATTTTGGCATTTTTATAGGCTTGTTTCTTGGTTTAAAATATTTAGAACAATATTGATGCTTAGTTTAGATCCAAAACTATCTCTGGAACGTGCTAAGGAATTTGGACAAGTAAGAAATTGGATCAGCAACCCAAATACCACAAGCTCATACCAACTAATTGAGTATTATGCATCTAAACTTTTCAATGAACTATGCAACAGATTTTATGCATGCTTGAATTATAATGTTGATGCTATGGTGTCATCTTAGGTAAGTTGATACCTCTGAGAGAAGAAGAGGCAGCATTACTCCAAAATGACAAAACCTGGAAGAAAAATCCCCACTATGTTGATTAATCTTTGGAGAAGGCAATAATTCAAAAGTTATTTTATTGTTTATATTTTAACATATTACCTTTCTTTTTGAAAGCAACAACAATATAAAAATTGGTGGTTGACAATTCTTTGTAAGATCAATTCTGAAACTTTATATTTATATTATGCACTTTGATAATCCAATCAGGTAAAATGAAGAGTTCAGTCATTAAATAATACAGACTGTGCATGCTGCTTGATATCTATATCATTTACATCTACATATACACACAATAGGGTAATTGCATTGTTTTTTGTTTGTTTGTTTTTAAATTCTTACCTGTCACATCAGCAGCCATTAATCCTTCTGCTCTGATCACTTTCACCTGGAGAAATCCCACATCTTTCAAGTTGTGAAATATCCTCAATGGGCTCTGAAAGACCCCAACATCAAGTATTAGAAAAAAAAGGTCCCAACGGGTCTCAAAGAGTTTTCTGAGACAACACTAAGTTTTATGGTTGATTTCAGAATGCTGTTTAAGCGATTCAAAGGATATTTGTGTTTCTTCAGTACAGATTACCCTTCCACCATCATGAATGTGTACATACACACACACACACGCACGCACGCACGCACGCACACACATTGTTGCTAAGTAGATATTTTTGAAAGAATAAAAAAACCCACAACATTTCTTCCCCATAAAGAATTATCAGTAGATGGTGAACAATAAATTATGAAATAGGATATGCCTTTTTTTTCCCCTTCAATCTCCTTTACCAAAGCACTTCAAGAAAGTTTTCCTCTATGGGTGTGATAGTTTGGAGACTTACAATTCTTAATACTGAATCTGAAGTTGTTAATTATGTAATACTTCAGACTTTGGGAGTAAGAAACTCAACTTTAAACTAATTAGTTTTTTTTTGTTTTTTTTTTTTACTATTTTTGTCTTAATGAGCATTGGAAATTGTATGTGCTAGATGAAGGTTAAATTATTGAAAGACTATTTTCTATATTTAATTTAAAAGACTTAGGTATTCTATAAACCTGTTAAGTAGAAGACATATAATCTTCAAAAATCAATCTAATTGGCCTTGGCTGGTGTGGCTCAGTTGGTTGAGCATTGTCTTGTGCTGGGGAGGGTGGCTGGTTCGAGTCCCAGTCAGGGCACACACCCAGGGTTGCTGTGCATACCGGAGGATACTGACTGATGTTTCTCTCTCATATCGATGCTTCTCTCTCTCTAAAATCAATTAAAAAATTTATAAAAATCAATCAATCAAATTGATCACTAAAAATAAACTCAAAAGTGATGAGTAATTTTTCTTAAATTTGTAATTTTATTTACTATTGTAGTATATATAGAGGTAGAAGTAGAAAAACAATGATAGAATCAGACCCAAATAATAAAACCTATTTAACTTCATTAATTAATAATGGTAGTGTTTTAATAAGTGTAGTACTGGAAGGAATTAAAAACGGGATACCAATACAATAATTCAAAACTCTAATTAATGGGCACAAATATTTAGAGAGTAAATAAACCTATAAATGTTATATGCATTTGTTTATTTATAAATCTTAGCATTTTTCTCATGCTAAGATTAGCATTTCTACTCAGTAAATCAAAGGTATTTCTTTATCATAATCTTTAAAATGCTTTATGACCAGGGAACATAACATACTTTTGCATAATAAAGTTAGCTATTCAAATGTCACTAAAGAATATTTGCATCCTGTATTAAGCATATGAGAATACTAAAGAGCAAAGCTTATGGTCCCTTATGACTACTTATTGTTTACACTGAAGCTATGACCTTGGTATAGTGAGGGAGGAAATGCAGATATATGTGTAATCTCATAACCTAACTTTAAAAAAAAAGTATTTAGCCCGAGGATTAGCTCTTAATCTTTTATTGTTTTTAAACAGTTGCTTATCTCCCAAAACTGTTTAAACTGCCCAGATGATAGGATTCAATAAAAAGGAACTTCTTTCTCCATTTAAACTCCTGTAAACTAAGGGTTTAACAGTGGGAACTTGAGACAGCAGTATTAGAATTTAGAGGTTTGTAGGCGTGCTGTCTTCCTAATGCAGTAATGATCAGGTCTGGGAAGCTTCTTATCTCGGAGCTTACTGAGTGCTATAAACCAGGTAAGTCTGCTATCCTAATGAGGGAGAAGAATTTTCTGAAAAGGTTTCTATCCTTTAATTTTCAGAAGCAATTTAAACCAAGTTTGACTGTCACTAAAACAAATATTAACAGTCCTCATGTCCGAGAACCGTGTCATACTGCTAACCTCGCTGCACAGACATGGAGCTTCTGGTGCTTCAGTGCCCGTGCTCTGCTTCCCACGTGGAGGGTAGTTATTGTTTGAAAGCTCCATTCCCTTGAATCAGCTGACACTCAGTAATTTATTGTGAACTTCAACTGTTTAGGCTAGTGACACCCTGATTATGATAAGAATTCCAAAAAAGCAAAATACTTTAAATATACCAGTTAAAAGCTAAAACTTTAAGTCATGTTTCATCAAGAAGTATTCTTGCCTTGTTATTTATGGTTATTTTAGAAGTCTTCAAAACCTGGATGGCTTCTGAAGCCAGAAATTTCCATAGCAGAGAAATGTATGATTTGCTGTGAATCCTTTCAGCCCTCAATAGATGGGAAAAGATTGAAATGCTCTGGAGAGGAGTCCTCTTTATTTTTTTAATGAAAGGCTGTATAATATATTTTCTCTATGGCTGCAGCAGCTGTCAGGGAGAGCATCTCAGTTCAGCTCTATTACGGGAGAGGCAATACCCCATCCTATGGCATGGAGATGCTCTGAGGGGCCAGGGCTGATTGACAGCTTGTCACCGTGACGTCTTATTCCATCTCTGTTATGGAGAAAATTAATGTCACACCACCAGCCTTATGACTCGCTGTCATCTTAGAACCGCTCACCTTTTATCAATGCTCTAAATAACATTTCAAGCCCATCGTCTCGCGGTGGACAATCCGGTCAAGGGACATTAAATCAGATGACTGTGAAATGTCATAATAAAAATGGAATGCTAACAACTTCTTCTCTAAACTAGCTCCTCTGGTTTTTAAACTGTGACAAGGGGGAGCAAGGGTTCAGCATACCCATTCTGAAAAGGTCATACAATTGCTCTTGGTCTACTACCCATTACTCCCCGCCCTCTATTGACCTTCCCTGCTTTCCTCCCCCCAAAAGAAGAAAAATGGAATTAGCCATCTTTTCAGAATGTGGTGATCGAAAAATAGCTCGTAATGTCTGTTTAATTTGTGGGGCTTCAGTGCTTCGGAGTGAACCGCTGAATGACAGCGATGGAGAGACTGCGGGGCTCTTTCAAAGGAGAGTGGGACAATTCACTTCCTTTCCTCACCACAACCAAATTCTCAAGTTTAACCTAAACTTTAAAAAATACACATGTTCTCAGAGGAAAACATATAAATAATTTTCCAAATAACCTTCTTTATGTGTTTCTCTAAAACAAGAGGTATTTCAGACATGATACAGCATTCCTTAATCTCATACTTTATATAATGAAAAGGAAACACACGGAAACCCTACAATCAAGGCTGTTGTCCTTGTATTGCTATGACTGATTATAACACGTGCTATTGCGTACAGTGGCTTTTTGGGAAGTTGTGTGCATAGAGGGAGATACTGGCCAATGCTTGAAATTCAGGGCTAAAAAAGTGCATTTAAATGTGGCTCACTTTTCAATATAATGAGCAGAATATAATCTGAGAATTAGCTGGAACATCCACATAATATTTTACATTTTACTGAAATAATAACTAATATTAGAAAGAAGGTGTAGAACAAATATTCAAATTCTAAATGGAAATGGCTGATTTAAGGAAGCCCATCCAACTAAAAGAAAAAATAAAATAAAATCAATAATAGTTGTATTCTTTCTAATGATCTAGCTTGCAGTATATGTTTCTCTTTCTAATGATCTAGCCTGCAGTATCATTCCAATATATGGGATAGAATCAAATAATCCACAAAATACAGCTTTATAATGCCTAGAATAATGTTTATATTAATACATATATTAATTGACTCCTTTAAATTGTTTTAATTCCTGAGACTATGTTTTGGTAGGGACCAAAATGTGAAAGAATTTTGATCATTTCAATTCTGTATTAGAAGATGCTACACAATACCTTAGGCTCTTGGGTAGTTTAAAAATATACGCTATTTAGCCTTGCTAAGTCACCTCCATTAAGCTGTCTATGATAACACCACTGGTGGATGAGTTGTACAAGCATTAGCAGACAGCTGATTCAGGGGAGATAGCCCGAATAAATTTGCTGAAGCGCACACCCTGCTAATCTGTTTGGAGAATATTGTAGAGCATTAGTACCAGCACTTCATGTTATCTGCACAGCCTGATAAGGTACATCTTTATTAAATTCAGTTATTGAAAAGATGTCAGTCAGCAAACAGGAATATTTTAAAATCTAAAAAAAAATAAAAAATTAAGCGGTCCTTTGTTAGTCAAAGCTTAGTTCCATAGCTGAGTGTCTAGAGGAGCCTTCTAAACACCTGGCAGCATCGTACAATACAATCTTTGTAATTTTAAGTGGAAAAGCTTTTTTCCCCCAGTTTCATGGGTACTGAAGTATTCACTTTTTCGAGCCTCCACTGAGGGAGAACGGTGGAGTAAGAGCTCCCCTCTCTGTTGATTCAAGAAAACTACAAGGTGGGAAATGTACTGTGTAAGGATGCTGGGAAACAGGTAGGTTTAGCTGTGAATATTTTTGGTTCGGTAAAAACTGAGAAGGGTACTTATTTTAATGACTCACTATTCCACTCTGTCCATCTACATTTGATATAAAGGTAAGGAGGCTTCCTTTTGATATTTAACATTCAACTAAAAGATAAAATAATAAAGAGAGGCTCTTCTAAATAATGGAAAATAAAAATGTTTTTTGTGAATACCCTCTTGTTATCAAGCTACTAATCAATGTAAATGCCACTGACTCCATTTCGAACTTGAAAAAACAAAGAAATATGAATTGCAATGATAAAGAGTCAATGAATTAATTTTAAAGCAATACTGTATAAACTTGACACCCCTTCGTGGGAAGTTTCCCTGCATGAGAAAATCATTGTGGAGACTCTCAGAGTCTAGACCTTGCTCTGGAAGTGGCTATAGAAAAGACCTGGTGTCTAGACTTTAGTGGGGGGGACTCAAGTGCATCTGCCAAGATATGTGTGGCATTTGCATTTGCCCAGTTTTCTGCTTCTGCTGATTGACCTGTCAAACAGCTTTTTAGACGTACTTCTGTCACTGCAGGTAAATTATTTACAACCTCATCTAGTCACACATGACCCTGAGTGGGGAGGGTTATATACGTACATATCTCTTTAATATTTCCTCCCGTTCTTTCTGATCCTCCAGGGAGTTGACAGAGAGGTCAGAGATACTGACTGTGGCCGAAGCTGTCAAAGTGACCAGCAGCACCAGGTGTCCCTCACCCTCTTCCAGCTGCAATTCCAGCTTGTGCGTCTGTTCCCTACTGAGGCCCGACAGGTCGACCTGGCACCTAAAAACAAATGTTTTGAATTAGCAAGTGGCTTTTTTCCCCCCTCCACATCAAACAGTGGAAGTGCAGGCTGTTCAGAGCTATGTGAAAAGTCAATCAATAGAAATAGTATTTGGACCACTGGAAGAATATGTCTTTCGTGTCACCTGACTTTCTTCACAAAATTAAGCCCTTGATTGTATTAGTGTCTAATTGCTGATTTACTGCAAGATACAAAAACCCTTGCTTATCTGATTCAATTACTGCCCATTGTCACTGTATTCATAAACCGGCAGAGACTTCCAATCCTGGATGGCCTAGGTCAGTGGGGCCTTGCTTACCGAAAGACTGCCTTGAGCTGTCTGGAGAGGCCAACTCTGGAGTCTGAATTTTTGTGTCACCTTTAAACCAATAGGTGTTTTTCCCCATATAAATGTAATATATAAAGCAGTGATTAGAAGATGTACTTTAGGGATGCCATAAGTTTTATATTTTTAAAACCATGCCATTTATTCATAAAACACTCACAAATCTAAATAAAAAAATAAGCAAATCCTTTGAAAACATCAGTGTTATGTAGCAGAATTGTCCTGAGAGGTTTCATAACATGGCAGCCTATGGACCACAAACCACTCTCTCAGGGCTAACCTTCCTTGCAAGCTTTTTTCATAAAAATGTTCATTGATTTGGAAGAGAAAGATACTGTGGTGACCACAATGCCAATAAACTGAGAGAAAGGGGACAGATATGAATTAAAGGCATTTAAAACAGGAAATAGCCAATTACAAGAATAAATGTAGTAACAAATAAACAGGGTGGTCAGCTTTCAGGGACAAATTAAATTTTTGCTTCTTCTTATTCTTCACCCTATTTATTGTTTTGCTTTTAATTTTATTTATTTATTTTTATTTTTACTGTTGAATGTATTATAGATTTTCCTCATTTTTCCCCCATTGACCCCCTCCTCCCTACTCCTGCCCCCCTACTGCCTTTCCCCACACTATTGTCTGTGTTCATTGGTTATGCACATATGCATATAAGTTCTTTGGTTTATTTCTTCCTACCCCCCAAACTCCCTTCTCTTTGAGGTTTTTCAGTCTAGCAACAGATTTGTACTTCTTAATCCCTTCACCTTTTTCACTCATTCCCCCAACTCCCCTCCCATCTGGCAACCAACAAAATGTTCTCTGTATATATGAGAATGTTTCTGTTCTGCTTGTTCATTTTGTTGGTAGATTCAATTGTCGCTAGATATGTATTCATTGACATTTTGTTGGTTCATATTTTTTTTATCTTTTTCTTCAAGAAGACCCTTCAACATTTCATATAATAATGGTTTGGTGGTGATGAACGCCTTTAGCTTTTCCTTGTCTGGGGAACTCTTTATATGGTCATCGATTCTAAATGAAAGCTTTGCAGGATAGAATAATTTTGGTTGTAGGTTCTTGCTTTTCATCACTCTGAATATTATTTGCCACTACCTTCTGGTCTGCAAAGTTTCTTTTGAGAAATCAGCTGACAGTCCAATGGGAACTCCCTTGTAGGTAACTAACTGCTTTTCTCTTGCTGCTTTTAAGATTCTCTCTTTGTCTTGAACCTTTTGCATTTTGATGATGATGTGTCTTGGTGTGGGCCTCTTGGGGTACATCTTGTTTGGGACTCTCTGTGCTTCCTGGACTTGTATGTCTGTTTCCTTCACCAAGTTAGGGAAGTTTTCTGCCATTATTGTTTTAAATAGGTTTTCAATTTCTTGTTCTCTCTCTTCTCCTTCTGGCACCCCAAGATGCAAATGTTGGCACGCTTGAAGTTGTCCCAGAGGCTCCTTACACTATCTTCATTTTTTTTCTTGGATTCTTTTTTCTTTTTGCTGTTTTGATTGGGTGTTTTTTGCTTCCTTATATTCCAAATCGATGGTTTGCTCCTTGGCTTTACCTGCTCTACTACTGAATCTGTGTAAATTATTCTTTTTTTTTTTTTTACCCTCACCCGAGGACAATTTTCCATTTTTTGTTCAGGTAGAGTGGGAGGGAGAGAGAGGAACAGAGAGAGAGAAACATCGAGTGGCTGCCACCTGCACAACCGACCAGGGCCGGGGACAAACTGCAACCAAGGTACGGGCCCTTAGCGGGAAACGAACCCGGGTCTCTCAGGACCGCAGGCCTACTCTCCAACCGCTGAGCCAAACCGGCCAGGGCTGTAAATTATTATTTATTTCAGTTAGTGCCTCCTTCATTTCTGACTGGCCCTTTTTTATGCTCTTGAGGCCCTCACTAAGTTCGCTGAGGTTCTCACTAAGTGTATTGAGCATTCTTATAAGCAGTATTTTGAACTCTGCATCTGATAGGTTGCTTATCTCCATTTTGCTTAGTTATTTTTCTGGGGTTTTGTTCTGTTGTTTCATTTGGGACCTGTTTCTTTGTCTCCTCATTTTGGCTGCCTCCCTGTGTTTTTTATTCTATGTATTATTTAATGAGAGGTATGGAGCTAGCTGAGACCAGATGATGCTTGTTTGAAAGAATTTAGGAAAACCTGAAGCAGGATAGGAGACAGGCCAATGTTATGGTTAAGCAATTGACAACAGCTTGGGTGGACCTGAAAGTCGGGTAGGGCTGGGCCTTAGGGAATCACCAGGGCAGGGCAAACAGTGTGAGCCAGATTTCTGGGGTCTCAGATATGGTGGCTGTCTGCCGCCCCAGGGAAGGCCTCACCAAAGGATCAAAGGCCTCTGATAGCATGTCTGTTCTGGAGAAAGCCCCCTCTCCAGCCCTCGCTCCAGTGCCAAACAGCTCAGTTCTTCCCGGTATGTCTCTGGCACCCCTCGAGCTGCCTCCCCTCTGAGCTTAGAGGGAGTGAGTCCATCAAGTCAATGCGTGGGCCCTTAAAGGCTCCAGCTGCCTCAGCCTCCCTCAGCCTCAGCTCCTGCTAATTTTTCCAGCCAGAAGTTATGGGGATTCTCTTCTTGGCACTAGAACCCTGAGCAGGGTGCCTGGTGTGGGACGGGGACCCCTCAGTCCTCAGGGAGGACCTTCCCAGCTGAGGTATCCTCCTAATTTTTATCCGCCACACATGGGTGTGGGACCAGCCCATCCGCCTCCGCCCCTCCTATCAGTCTTGATGTGACTGCTTCTTTAATTTCATAGTTGTAGGACTTTCATTCAGCTTGATTTCGGGTGGTTTTGAATGATGGTTTTTCTGTAATTTAGTTGTAACTTCGATGTGGTTGTGGGAGGACTCGATACCGTGTTTACCTACCCGCCATCTTGACCAGAAGTCTATTGTTTTGGTTTTAAATTAAACTTCTATGAATAGGGTCTCAATGTTTATAGTTGTGCTCAAACATCTCTTTAAGCATGAATGATTTTAGGAATTAAACCAAAGTTTGACATTTACCTTTTATTTTTACCTATCAAAAATAACAGCAGAGATTGTCGGGACTAGAAACAATGGAGAGGAAGAGGAATGTAGATGCAAGAAATGAAACACAAAAGAAATGCCTTGGTCAGTGACAGAAAAATGTGTGTGTGTCAAATGATAACTATTGAGAAAGAAGGAAATTAGAATCTGTGGCAAGCCTGAAAAATATCTTCTTAAAGTTAGAATGTATATTAAATAACCTCATTATTTCTGTGAACACAACATCCATTTCAATATACTCTCATGCTGTCTCCTTAAATTCTAAATGATGATAGGACATATCAAATGCCCAATCTAATATTGTATTTTTTTTACATTTTTTATTTTTTATTTGATATATATATAGAGAGAGATCGATTTTTTGTTTCCTGTATGTCCTCTGACCAGGGATCAAACTCACAACACTGGTGTGTATCATGACGATGCTCTAACCAATGGAGCTACCCAGCCAGGGCTCTAATGTTCTAATTTTAGTTGAAATTAAGTTCTGGTCAATAACACCTAGAATAAACTGAGAGTAGAAGAAATGCAGTGGTGAAAGCAACCAATCAAATGTATTTTCTACTACAAAGAAAAAATCAGTATCATTTTCTACAGATTTTTCCAGCACCTGGCACAGTGTCTAGCCTGTAGTTTGTTGAATGTGAATTACTCTTTGAGCTAGATCAGGAGTATGATACTAGAGTATTGAACAGAAATTACAATTCAGATAGTACTTTTGGTTGGATAACGTTGGGACCTAGAAGGGTCTTTCACTCACTTCAATAATGCATTTCCCAGTCCAGTCCTTGCCTTATTCTTTGATGTGACAGACACTGCATCACTCTTAAAACATGAAAACACATTAACGCTTTCTGGAGGATTTCCTTCTATGCCAATTACTAGTTTGCACTGGTCATACAGATGCCAGACCACTCCTCATTGATATTAGTTTTTCATTTAATGCTTTGGGGTTGGAGAAGATCCTCTAAAGACAGTCTGGTCCAGGCATTGCAAATTGGGAACTTTCAGACCAAATCTAGTCCATGGATTTGTTGATTTCTATTGTAGTGTTAAAGTTTTGAAGTTAAGTAATTTTAAAGACAGAGCAAATGTCCTCTGACTTAGTTACTATCCTCAATACTGTCTATTATTTATAGCTATACCTGGTTCTAATAGGCATACGGATTTGTGATCCTTGAAATCTCTTTAATCTACCAGTGAAAAAACTGAAGGCCAGAGAAGTTACATGACTTACTGGAACTATAGTTAGCACAGTCAGGACCTGAACTCAGTTTTGTCCTGACTAGTCTATCATTAAGTAATCGTGCATCCCAGGAGGAAATGTGTGCTGTTTGCAGTGGTTCGTAAAGTGGGTAATATCTGGATTGATTTTAAACAAGAAAAAAAATCTCAGTTTTAAAGCATGGAATTATATTATTTTTATGCTTTATATATAAACTAGGGAAGAAAGCTGTAACTTATTGACCTTATAAGAGAATAAAGTAAGAAAAATTTATAAATTGAATTTTTAAAACCCTGAAACTAATAAAATTTAAATTAACATTATAAATTTATAGGGAGGACTATGCTTTTTTGCTGCAACTAAATTTTCTACAGTGAGTGTA